GCCTTATTCGGTAAGAAGAGCGTTGCTATTTAAACCAAAATAGTAAGTTTTACCTATTCGGCACGATATATAGTTTGGTTGGAGAAGAAAATATTCAAACAGCTCCAGGGAGAACCTTGAGTTTTCCCTGAGGTACGTTATTGTAATATTATTATATATATATATATATATATATATATTATATATATATATATATAATATATATATATATATATATATATATATATATATATATATAATATATTCCTCATACATATAATTGACACTACAGTTAGTTTGGCTAGTGCAGCTCTTAGTAGAGATATTTTCTATCAACCTGGCAGTGTGTGTATCAGAGGTCAGTGGTCACAGTGGTTAGAGAGGAAGGTGCAGAAGGTGGAGTATTTTTTGCAGTACATACTTCTTTCACTGTCTGCTGAACACCTCCAGCATGACTAGGTGTATATACAGTCATTATTGACTCATCAAATGATCTCTTTAAGATAATGTGTTAAGATGGTATCAACATTTGGATTAAGCGTTCTGGTCAAAACTATTTTTGTCTCTTACATTAATATCCTGGCCACTTAGAGTGGTTATATTCTTATCAACTTTATATAATTTATCCATGGTGTTTGCTGGTAATGCATTTCTTTAACTAGAGAGATACAACTACCTGTGTCAATAAAGAATGTTATATATTTGTCGTTAACTTTAATTTTGATGGTGGGTCCGCCATTTATAATTATATTATGACCCTTTACAAATTTATTGCTTCCCCTGAGGGCCACGAAATTGTTTTAAAGGTACAATTTGTTTTAATATGTCCATTCTGTCCACACTTCCAGCTTGATAATTGTTTGTTGGAAGGTTCTCAGATAACTGGCATAGGAACAGGTTCTTGTGGATATAGAAATTGTAGCGTTGGGAACTTCAGAATTATGGGGTTCATTTATGTAAGGAATTCTAATCACATCACCTCTCAGACCTCTACCTTCAAGCAGGAATAAATTTGTGATCCTCCTTAACCTTCTTTGTATCAGATGCCAATTTGGATTCAGGCCTAATAAAAATACTAATGATGCTATTATACACATGCTAGAACATATATACACTGCAATAGAGAAAAAAGAAGTCCCACTGGGGATCTTCATTGACTTACGTAAAGCTTTTGATACAGTTGACCATGACTTGCTCCACGTAAAATTATCACACTATGGTATAAGAGGGCACTCCCTCAACTACCTCAAGTCATACCTCAGCAACAGAAGCCAATATGTGTACGCAAATGGGGCAAACTCTTCTGCACAACCAATTACAGTTGGTGTCCCACAGGGAAGTGTCCTTGGCCCTCTTCTCTTTCTCCTATACATAAATGACCTACCAAATGCTTCTCAATTACTCAAACCCACACTATTTGCTGATGACACAACATACGTCTTCTCCCACCCGAGCCCAGTCACGCTAGCCAATACTGTAAATACCGAATTACAGAAAATATCTACCTGGATGAGTACTAACAAACTTACACTAAACATTGACAAAACCTACTTCATTCAGTTTGGTAACAGAGCTACAGATGTCCCTCTTAACATAATGATAAACGGATCACCTATCACAAAGCTAACAGAGGGAAAATTCTTAGGAATCCACCTTGATAATAGACTCAAATTTCATACACATATACAACAAATTTCTAAGAAAATTTCCAAGACTGTAGGCATACTATCGAAGATACGGTACTATGCTCCACAGTCAGCCCTCCTGGCCCTATATCACTCTCTTATTTACCCCTATCTCACCTATGGAATTTGTGCATGGGGCTCAACAACAAGTAACCATCTCAGACCACTAATTACCCAACAAAAGGCTGCAGTTAGAATGATAACAAATTCTCACTACAGGCAGCACACTCCACCAATATTCAATACACTCAACCTACTCACCATACAAAACATCCATACTTATTACTGCACCTATTACATACATAGAACACTCAACTCTGATATTAACCCTCCCCTCAAACATCTCCTTGCCAACCTCAACAGAACACATGACCATAACACAAGGCACAGATCACTCTTTGATATTCCTCGTGTCCATCTCACGCTATGCAAAAACTCAATGCACATAAAAGGCCCTAAAATCTGGAATTCATTACCTGTAAATATAAAAGAAACACTACCTGTTTATAAATTCAAGTCTCTTCTCAAAGATCACTTACTCACCCAAAACCAAATAAATACTGAATAACTGAACCTTATAAATTGTATATCTTAAATGTTTCTCACAATTATATCACATAAATGTTAAACCTAAAACCCAATCTAACTTTATTATTTTTTAAATTCACTACCTAACAGAATACTCCATTCTACTGAATTTACAACAATGCATGCAACCATATGACCTGTCTTTGTAATACTCACTTGTGCTTTATAGTAATCAGTTTACATTAATGTTTTTCACTGATTTCATCATTGCTTAGTTAATCTTAAGTTAATTTTAAGCCAGCCCGTAATGCTATGCATAGTATAAGTGGCTTTGGCATGCTGCTCTTATCTGTATTTTTTTTTTTGTACCTCTGTAAGTGTGCTCAAATTATAAATAAATAAATAAATAAATAAAAACATTCTGCAGTTACACTCAGACAATAATGTCTGAACTTCCATGAGATCCCATCCACGAAAATTTACCTTCAAAATCTCGTTTTGTTACTCATGAGTGTGGGAGGGGTTTCTATGAGGGGTGTGGTTGAAGTGCCTGCTAGGAATATGGGTTGGGTGTTAGTCTGGGGTGTGGGTGGGGTGCTAGCAGTAGTTTGAGTCAGGGTGCTGGTCAGGGGTTTGGAAGGGTGCTAGGCAGAGGCGTGGGTTTGGTGCAAGGCACAGGTGTGGTTGTAGGTGCTGGGAAGGGTGTGGGAGGGATTCTGGGCAAGGGTTCTGGGTAGGGTGGGAGTTGGAGAACTGGACAGGGAAGTACGAGGGTGGGGTGGTGCTTGCGTGTTGGAGGGGTGCTGGTGAAACGTATTAGTAGAAGTGCTGGTCAGGGGTAAGGTTGGGAGTGCTTGTCATGTGGAAGTGCTTGTCATGTGTGGGAGTGCTTGTCATGTGTGTGGATGAGGTGCCTGTCATGTGTGTGAGGGTGCTTCTCATGTGTGTGGGTGAGGGTGCTTGTCGTGTGTGTGGGTGGAGGTTCTTGTCATGTGTGTAGGTGGAACTGCTTGTCATGTGTGTGGGTGAAGGTGCTTGTCATGTGTGTGGGTGGAGGTGCTTGTCACGTGTGTGGGTGGAGGTGCTTGTCACGTGTGTGGGTGAAGGTGCTTGTAATGTACTCACCTATTTGTGGTCGCAGGGGTCAATTCATAGCTCCTGGCCCCGCCTCTTTACTGTTCGCTACTAGGTCCTCTCTTTCCCTGCTCCATGAGCTTTATCAAACCTCGTCTTAAAACTATGTATGGTTCCTGTCTCCACTACATCACTTGTCAAACTATTCCACTTTCTGACAACTCTATGACTAAAGAAATACTTCCAAACATCCCTTTGATTCATCTGAGTCTTCAACTTCCAATTGTGACACCTTGTTGCTGCGTCCCATCTCTGGAACATTCTGTCTCTATCCACCTTGTCAGTTCCTCGCAGTATCTTGTATGTCATAAGAACATAAGAAAGGAGGAACACTGCAGTAGGCCTGTTGGCCCATACTAGGCAGGTCCTTTACAATCCTTCCCATTAACAAAATATTTGCCCAACCCAATTTGCAATGCTACCCAAGGAATAAGTTTTGATGTCGTTATTATGTCTTCCCTAACCCTCCTGTCCTCCAGTGTGGTCAGGCCTATTTCCCTTAACCTTTCTTCGTAGGGCATTACCTTAGCTCCAGGACTACTCTTGTTGCAAACCTTTGCACTTTCTCTAATTTCTTGACGTGCTTGACCAGGTGTGGGTTCCAAACTGGTGCTGCATATGCCAACATGGGCCTGACGTACACGATGTAGAGTCTTGAACGATCCTTTTCCTTGAGTGAGGTTTGCAGTCTTGGCCCCCAAGCCACCCACCCTGTGTGGATGGGGGTGCCTGTCATGTGTGTGGGTGGAGGGTGCTTGTAATGAGTGTGGATGCGGGTGCTTGTCATGTGTGTGGGGAGAGGTTGCTTAATGCCTAGGCATAATAGAGGCTCTCTTTGCATTGCAACCCACTATTGTAAATGCAAAATCTCAATGTACTGTTTACCTGGAGTTTACCTGGAGAGAGTTTCGGGGGTCAACGCCCCCGCGGCCCGGTCTGTGACCAGGCCTCCTGGTGGATCAGCGCCTGATCAACCAGGCTGTTGCTGCTGGCTGCACGCAAACCAACGTACGAGCCACAGCCCGGCTGATCAGAAACTGACTTTAGGTGCTTGTCCAGTGCCAGCTTGAAGACTGCCAGGGGTCTGTTGGTAATCCCCCTTATGTGTGCTGGGAGGCAGTTGAACAGTCTCGGGCCCCTGACACTTATTGTATGGTCTCTTAACGTGCTAGTGACACCCCTGCTTTTCATTGGGGGGATGGTGCATCGTCTGCCAAGTCTGTTTGCAAAGACATAAAATAAATAAATAAATAAATAAGATAGGGTTTTGTTCGGATTTTAACCCCGGAGAGTTAGCCACCAAGGATAACCCAAGAAAGGCAATGCGTCATCGAGGGACTGTCTGTCTGATTTCCATTGGGGCCCCTCAGTCTTGTCCCCCAGGATGCGACCCCACACCAGTCGACTAACACCCAGGTACGTACTTGCTTGGTGAACGGGACAGTAGGTGTAAGGAAACGTCCACATTGTTTTCACCCTTGCCGGTGATCGAACCACGGACACTGTGTCAGGCGAGAGCGCTTCCTACCAGGCCACGGGACACCCCTGTAATGGGTGTGGAGTGGGAGTGCATGTCATGCTTGTGAGTGGGGGTGATGGGAGGGGTTGCAGGGTGTGGGGTGGGGTACCTGGGTTGGGGTGTTAGGTGGGTGTGGGGGGAGATGGTGGGTACTCGACAGCAACAGCACCCACAGTAACACACTGTCTCTCACTCAGTCTACGCTGCTCCTGCCTCGCCTCAACACCTCGTCTGTGTAACTTGTGCCACAACTACCACCAAGATGCCACGGGACTCTGCTGCCAACCAACTCAGCGAGTTCAAGAAGACCCAGACGGTAAGTGTTCATCACTCAAAAATATATTTGTTCAATAAACTGGTGATGCTGCTGGTTTGCATGATAGTTGCATCTTGCATGTCTTGTTCATTGCATGCATAAAAATAACTTGTTGGATTGAAGGTTGAATCTACGTCTTTGCCTATAAAAAAGTGAACGGGTAATCATAAGTAAAATAATTGACATTATCATTGCAACAGGAGGTTTATCATTGCAACAGGAGGTTCATGCTGGATGTTAAACTGCGTATGTTATATTCCAGGACTTGGCATACACTTTGACCACTTTGTTTATTTTGCCAATGAATCAAGTTGGTCATGACGTTCGCTAAACTTCATGTCATACTGATTTATATGTTTTATAGCCTATTTTGAGTAAATATTGGGATATACTAGATTATCCTAGATTAAGTCATCATAAGTAAGTTTATTCAGGTTCCTTTGCACAAAGTTTAAGGTTTTTCAGTTTTCTTGTATAGTAACACATATTTAAGTTGCCTGGGATGATCCATGAAAGTGGGATCCCTGTGTTACTTGTGTGAACATTTTGCTTATATGTATTGTAATGGTTCCTGGGATCACTGCCTGGAATATACATGGAGGGTCACCTCCCTCACGGCCTGGTCCGTGACCAGGCTTTACAGTGGACCAAGTCCTGATCAACCAGGCTGTTACTGCTGGCTGCACGTCGCCAGTCGTATGAATCACGGCCCGGCTGGTCAGATACTGACTCGAGATGCCTGTCCAGCGCATTCATGAGGACAGCCAGGGGTCTATTGATAATCCCCCTTATGTATGCTGGGAGGCAGTTGAATAATCTTGGGCCCCTGACACTATGATGCCTCTTAGCGTACTTATGGCGCCCCTGGGGGAATGTTGCACCTCCTGCCGAGTCTGTTGTTTTTGTAAGGGGTGATTTCCATGTGCAGATTTGATACTAGTTCCTCTACGATTTTCCAAGTGCATATAATTATGTATCTTTCTTGCCTGCATTCCATGGAGTACAGGTCAAGGGACTTCAACCGTTCCCAGTAATTTAGGTGCTTTATTGTATGTATATATGCAGTGAAACTCTTCTGTATATTCTCCAGCTCTGGAATTTCACCTGCCTTGAAAGAGGCCATTAGTGTATAGCTGTATCCCAGCGTAGAGAGAACAAGCGATTTGAAGAGAATAATTATGGTCTTGCTGCAGCTTTGAAGGTTCTCATTATCAATCCCATCATTTTCCTAGCAGATGTGGTAGAGACTGTTGTGATCTTTGAAAGTGAGATTCTCCAACATTATCACTCCCAAGTCCTTTACATTAATGTTTTGCTCAGTTTTTGGAATTTGTTTTATACTCTGATCCAATTTATATTTCCTCACTTTTTCCATAGTGGAGTAATTGAAATTTGTCTTCGTTGAGATTCATATTGTTTTCCGAGGCCCATTAAAGACTTGGTTAATGTCTGCTTGGAGATTTGCTGTGTCTTCAGTGGATGACACTGTATGCCTGGAGAGGGTTTTGGGGGGTCAACGCCCCCACGGCCCAGTGACTAGCCCTCATGGTGGCTCAGGGCCTGATCAACCAGGCTATTACTGTTGGTTGCTTAAAAACTGATGTATAAACCACAGCCCTGCTGATCAGGTACTGACTTTCTGTTCCTGTCCAGAGCCTTCTTGAAGACAGCCACAGGTCTATTGGTAATCCCCCCTAATGTATGCTGGGAGGCAGTTGAACAGTCTTGGGCCCCTGACACTTATTGTGTTGTCTCCTATCATTGGGGGGATGTTCCATTGCCTGCTGAGTCTTTTGCTTTTATAGGGAGTGATTTTCACATGCTGATTTGGTACTAATCCCTCTAGGATTTTCCAAGTGTATATAATCATGTATCTCTCCTGCCTGTGTTCCAGGGAATACAAGTTGAGGAACTTCAGTGGAGGACATGTCACATAGGAGAGGCCTGAGGATATAATTAATAAATGAAGTGAAGGTTGCTTTAGTGGTTGGAATGCTTAGTGTTTATAATTTGGAATTTGTTGAATTTTGTGTAAAATTGGCAAAATTACTGACTTTGGGCACTGTTGTTTCTTGTGGTCAATTGATAGAACAGAAGGCATACTAGCAAAATAGCCAGAAACTGGGATGGTTTGAGTAATGGAATATACCAAAATAGCCAGAAACTGGGATGGTTTGAGTAATGGAATATACCAAAATAGGCTTCAAATTGGGTGAAATCGCTGTTGTGTACAGAACTAAAGGACTTCCAAGTTTGTGCCTACATAATTCTGTAGGTTTTCCATCAAATTTTACATTTTTGGTGTCATTACCTTTAGGAAAAGATTCTTTTAATTTTAGAAGAAAACATTATTATTATTATTTATTAATTTGGAACTCCAGTGGGACTTTTAACTTTGGGGGTCATGGCAATGAAAGGGTTAAATATTTGAAGACAGATTTTTCCCATTCTTTTATTTAAACTAATCAGTAGTCTTTGTAATATTAAAGTAGTAATATTAATTAGCCTTATAAATATTGTATAATATAGAAGACTTTAATAATGTTACTCTGATTAAATCAAAATTTGTTTAGAATGCGATAAAAAGACTAGTATAAAATCATATGCCACCAAACTTTTTATATGGGTTCTAAATCAGCAAGCATTGTTACTAACTATAATGAATTAGGAATTATTAAATAAGTCATCATTAAAATATCATCAGAAAAAAATGCTCTTATGGCAAATCATGATTTTGGAGGAAGTGCCTAATGATGACAATAATAGTTGAAACACCAAATTGGGAGAAATTTGAACTAGGTCTTGTTTGTCGTAAAGCAACTCTGCATTGCAACACAAGAGATTTCTTATTTACTAACCACAGCCATAACACTTTATCAATAGATATGCACAAAAGAAAACTCCCTCAGATTTAACAGAGGATATATAATACAATTGCATTATAGCTCTGTACCAAATGATACCTGGAGTTTACCTGGAGAGAGTTTCGGGGGTCAACGCCCCCGCGGCCCGGTCTGTGACCAGGCCTCCTGGTGGATCAGCGCCTGATCAACCAGGCTGTTGCTGCTGGCTGCACGCAAACCAACGTACGAGCCACAGCCCGGCTGATCAGGAACTGACTTTAGGTGCTTGTCCAGTGCCAGCTTGAAGACTGCCAGGGGTCTGTTGGTAATCCCCCTTATGTGTGCTGGGAGGCAGTTGAACAGTCTCGGGCCCCTGACACTTATTGTATGGTCTCTTAACGTGCTAGTGACACCCCTGCTTTTCATTGGGGGATGGTGCATCGCTCTGCCAAGTCTTTTGCTTTCGTAGTGAGTGATTTTCGTGTGCAAGTTCGGTACTAGTCCCTCTAGGATTTTCCAGGTGTATATAATCATGTATCTCTCCCTCCTGCGTTCCAGGGAATACAGTTTAGAAACCTCAAGCGCTCCCAGTAATTGAGGTGTTTTATCTCCGTATGCGCGCCGTGAAAGTTCTCTGTACATTTTTCTAGGTCGGCAATTTCACCTGCCTTGAAAGGTGCTGTTAGAGTGCAGCAATATTCCAGCCTAGATAGAACAAGTGACCTGAAGAGTGTCATCATGGGCTTGGCCTCCCTAGTTTTGAAGGTTCTCATTATCCATCCTGTCATTTTTCTAGCAGATGTGATTGATACAATGTTATGGTCCTTGAAGGTGAGATCCTCCGACATAATCACTCCCAGGTCTTTGACGTTGGTGTTTCGCTCTATTTTGTGGCCAGAACTTGTTTTGTACTCTGATGAAGATTTAATTTCCTCATGTTTACCATATCTGAGTAATTGAAATTTCTCATCGTTGAACTTCATATTGTTTTCTGCAGCCCACTGAAAGATTTGGTTGATGTCCGCCTGGAGCCTTGCAGTGTCTGCAATGGAAGACACTGTCATGCAGATTCGGGTGTCATCTGCAAAGGAAGACACGGTGCTGTGGCTGACATCCTTGTCTATGTCGGATATGAGGATGAGGAACAAGATGGGAGCTAGTACTGTGCCTTGTGGAACAGAGCTTTTCACCGTAGCTGCCTCGGACTTTACTCTGTTGACGACTACTCTCTGTGTTCTGTTAGTGAGGAAATTATAGATCCATCGACCGACTTTTCCTGTTATTCCTTTAGCGCGCATTTTGTGCGCTATTACGCCATGGTCACTCTTGTCGAAGGCTTTTGCAAAGTCTGTATATATTACATCTGCATTCTTTTTGTCTTCTAGTGCATTTAGGACCTTGTCGTAGTGATCCAGTAGTTGAGACAGACAGGAGCGACCTGTTCTAAACCCATGTTGCCCTGGGTTGTGTAACTGATGGGTTTCTAGATGGGTGGTGATCTTGCTTCTTAGGACCCTTTCAAAGATTTTTATGATATGGGATGTTAGTGCTATTGGTCTGTAGTTCTTTGCTGTTGCTTTACTGCCCCCTTTGTGGAGTGGGGCTATGTCTGTTGTTTTTAGTAACTGAGGGACGACCCCCGTGTCCATGCTCCCTCTCCATAGGATGGAAAAGGCTCGTGATAGGGGCTTCTTGCAGTTCTTGATGAACACAGAGTTCCATGAGTCTGGCCCTGGGGCAGAGTGCATGGGCATGTCATTTATCGCCTGTTCGAAGTCATTTGGCGTCAGGATAACATCGGATAGGCTTGTGTTAATCAAATTTTGTGGCTCTCTCATAAAAAATTCATAAAAAGGCATTATTGGCTCGCCTGTTTACCTTAGGTCTAATATGCAAAAATTCAAACTTTTTGATGTATATTATGTAGATTTAATCTTAGATAGCCCAATACAATCACTGCAACTTGTTTCCATCGGGGCCACTCTGTCTCACTACATTCATCTTGTACACTTTTGTGCTAGATTTAAGAAACCTCTCTTCAGATGTTTATTTTATGTGAGAGGTTAAACGTGTACAGTTTTTCTTTTTGAGGACTGATTGAGCCTGGTTCTTTGTCTGCCAAATTTGATATTGCGAACAGAACCGTTATACTACATG